AGGGGGAAAAAAAAAAAAAAGTGGAGAGACGAAAACACAGGGATGGAAAAATCATGTCTGCACAACAAATTTAAGAGGTGATAAAGTAAGCAGGAGAAAAAAGCACTGTTTTTACATTGTGATATAAAATTTTAGGTGTAAATTTTGACTGGTCTGATTTATTTGTGAATGCACGTACCCCTTCTTCCCCCTGAAAAAAAACAACAACATTGCTGAAAATGTTACAGTGCCTTCCAGTTTCAGTGTTGTTCAGGTTTTTTTGATGCTTAAAATTTTGATACATTTTCAGCTGGAATGTTTTTTCACCTATAATTTTGTTAAGATACTCTGAAAACATACTCAGCACATTCTCTAAAGCCAATCTCTAGAATTTGGGTAAATAAGACCATTTGCGTTCTTACTTTTCACAAACAGTGATCAAGAAGCAAAAAGGTAATTCAGATTTTTTTTTAAATTGTCTCAAATCTTGGCATGCAGAGGAAACAGAATTGCTCCCTACATCTTTAAAGATATTCAGACCACTTTCTCAAGTCTGTTTTGCAAAAATCGTAACAAAACATTTGTCTAGCATTAACATCACAATGTTCAGAGAAAGGAGAAATCTGGAAAGCAGAGATGAAACAGCAAGTGGAATAAATAAATAAATAAATACTAGCCAGTATTTATTCCACTTTCAGTAATCACAAAAGGCCAATTATAATAATTCCTCAAACAAAACTTGAAAGAAAGGAATCTGAAAACCGGTAACTTCTCTACTCTTACTAAGCAAATACGAAGACGAGATAGCCAGACAAGCATGAGCTACAGTAGTCGCCTACCCTATTTCAAATTCTTGCATGTGCATAAGTTTTCTGAACCTGAACTTGCATGGGCCTGCAGTGAGCATTTATGTTGAAGCTTACAGAAGTCAAAAGATCTCATCAGTTGAGTGAAGATCTCACACTTAGTATTTAGGAATTATTTTGCCAAGAACGCCTAGGGAATTTCCACAAGTAGAACTTAAAAACACAGAAAAGAAGGCATTATCAATCACAAATGAAGATGGGGGGCTGCTTTTCTTCTCAAAATTAAAGCAACTGAATCTAGTATTTCTTGAAAGAGATATCAGGGCTGCAAAAGAAAATTGCAAAAGTGCAGCTTAGTTTTTGAGCCTACTGATCTTAATACTCCTCTTCTACAAATGTTTTGCCAGAGGCTAAAGAAAACTGAGTACAAGTATATCTGTCTAACTTATTTAGGTCTTCCACTCCAAAAGAAACAGGTATGCACAGGAATACTTTCATGCAAGCACTTAAGAAGCATTTACCTACGAGAGGTTGAGGGCTAGACTCATACAAGCATTTGGGTGCTTAGATGCTGGAGATACCACTCTGCCATCATCTACCCCTAAATGTGCCAGTTTTCCCCTAATCGTTCGATCTTCCAAATAAAACAAGGTGTTTGTAAGGGATGTATGCCTTGGGGCTGATATACTCTATGCCAGCCTCAGTGGGACTCTCAAACTAAGAATTTTCAGATGGAAACATAGAGTTTCCAACTTGGTATGTTCTTAGCTGTAGGGTTCAATCCAGTCAACCTTCAGACCTGAACTGGAGTGCACATGAAACAAAGCACTGACAAGCTGATCCTTAAACTTGCGTGTGGAACAAAAAAGTTCAAATCCTTTCTCTCACCCTTCTGGACCAGGAATTTTAACTCTTCCTTCCCTCACAGAAAATTGCTTAAACACTGGGTTGTCCAGATGAAGAAGGCAGAGAAAAAAGAATCTTTTAAAATCTCCTACTGAAGCTATCATTATTTCATAAAATACTTACGGTATTAATAAGATAATAAACAGTTTAAAAATACTCCCACAGTCCATTAGTTCAGATGTTTTACACGAGTGACCAAAATAACAGTCCCTTTCTGCACACTTCAGATCATGTATGATGTCCTCAGCACAAGAGGCAGAAAGACCCAGGCCCCAGAGCCACTAAAACCACAACAGTTAACATGTTTTCCTGCTGATACGCAGGCAAAGCAGCAGCAGGGTTTACAGGGCTTTGGTTCATAATTCTAGGAGAAAAGACAAAGCACAAACGGAGGGAAATTTTTGTCTCCCACTTACAGATTCTCTGTCCTTCTTTCTGCAGGAGTTGCAGAAACGATTAAAGAACCCCAGAGGTGCAGATTTCTCAGTCTATACCACAAAACGCATTTCCAAATCACATTCAGCAGCTGTTCAACCATCTGCAATAGAGCAAACCCATAACAGAATCATGCAGTTGAATATCCTGCCCACAGACATGGGAAATTTTGGGCACAGCTGCCTTTATTTCTCGGACCCTCTCCGGTCTAGAGGAATACAGAAATGGAGTTCAGAAAAGGCCTCGGTTTTATCCCAAGTGGACAATATATTTGCACTATAAAGAAAATATGGGAGAAGTATTCCTAACTTCAGAGTTCGTCTTTTTAAAGGCATGGCCATGTAAGCAACGCATCAATCAGGCTGCAGTTTCTACCACTTCTAAGGGCACTCTGGGGTCATTTTACTGCACAAAGAAGTTCTACACTGGAAAATAAAACACTTGAAGAAAGACACGTCAACTCTGTTTTCAGATGACCTATTATCTGAATAGATATTTGTTTAGTCTATACAGACGATACTAATTCTCAAAACTGACAACTATCCAGATAGTAAATTTAAAAGAAAGCTCTTACGTTGTAAGAACTCGAAACAGCTCATATTTTCATCTGAAAATTTACAATTTGGAACTGAAAAGTTATGCCTTGTTACAAGTCATTCTTAAGAGTAATAAAACAGCAATATACTGGGTGTAAAAAACATCTTCCTCTCAGTGTATTTTGTAACGGGAACAACAACCACATAACCCCGTTCTAACCTTGTTCCTATCATGAACGTGGACTATCAAGAGACCAACCTCTCAAGCCCATGCCATTTTCTGATGGCAGGTATGTACCAGGGATACAATACTGTGTTGAATGCAGTGCTAGCCCAGAAGCGCTGGAGCACTAATATCTGCACGCAGACCGGCTGTACGTTTACTCCAGCCAGCTCCAGCACAGTGTTCTGGCACAAAATCAACTCTACATACATCACGCTCACGCACTGCTCTACTGGAAGCTCATTTAGATGAACTTTCCCCATTTCAGCAAAGTAAACCTAACCACTAAGCACAAATTAAAAAAGAACCCTAAAAGAAACAGGGTTACGTGAAACACATCTTATTATTCCTAATCCTCTCTTCAAAGTCTCGTCTCCAAAAACACTGCAGTGAAGAACTCTGTATAGACTTAAAGCTTGGGGATATAGTATTCAAATAGTATATATAATCTGCTGGTTTTTTCCACCTAATAAAAAAAAAATCTTTCTCTTTATTTTTTTCCAGAAACTTAAAGATAATCCTATTATCAGTCGACAACTCACTTGAAAAGGCTCTGCTCCCAAACACAAGGCACTGCCAAGGCCACCCTTCTCTCCAAATTTAAAATACTTGAAAGTTGTTATCAGAACACAATGCCACAGCAGCTAGCACAACTCCTCAAAGGTTAGATTGCACACTTCCCTTTTCTCTTCAAAATAATATTAAGATTGTTTAAGCTTCCACTCACATTTTTTCAAGATTCAACATGAGAACAGAAATCTGACTTTCATGCACGCAATTTTTATGAAAAGCTTACTTTCTTAAACAACCACAAATTGTACACTTTGTACTGACTCTATTTCCTCAGATTTTCCCTGCAATAACGCATACCTCCTGGAATCCTGGCTTTCTGATCTGTTGAAAAAACCCTTACAACTCTCTTATTACGAAACTCAAGGTACTGTTCCAGATGCAAAAACCTTGGAAATGTCACATAAGGACACAAAAGACTGATTCACCGTGACTGACAATTCAAGCTTTGCCTCTTGGGATGCAGAACCCCACTTATTAATCTCCAAAATAATTTTCAATAAAGCTCATGCATTTTTTCTGGTAACTGTTACACCCACCCACTTCTGCAGAGCATAAATGACGTTTTCTTGGTCTCGTTTAGAGCTCCAATCCCCCCACCCCAATCTTGGAGCTGAAAACTACAGGTAAGGAATGTAACAGCAAAAAGAATGAATGATGAGCTAGCCTACTGACAATGGTGAAGAATATATGAATATCATTAATTTCACAGCAGGGAAATCATCTACACTTACATAGTGCTACAAACTTCTATTTAACTGAAGAAGTGTCACTAGTTATACAGCAGATGATTCTTTCATTTTTGGAGTTTCTTTCTCTCTGATGGATCACAAAGCACCAAACAGCAATCTGAACCTCAGAAGCGTGTTTCAGCTAGAAAGACACTGAAAGGGTAACAGGAGAGCAACATCTTTTTATGACAATAAGGGCAAAGGACGAACAACTCCCAACTAAAAACATGGTGGCAGACCATTATCTTTACAAAGGCAGCAAGAGAGTTTAATGCACAGCTGAACTGAGAAACCCCAGCCAGCTTTAAACACCTCATCTGACTGCCTGACACTGCAAAACGCACACAACATCACACGCGCCTTAAACAAGGTGGTCAATCGGAGGAGCACCTGCATCTTCAGATTACTTCATATTTATAATCTACCAGATCAGAGATTTAAGATACCTAATGTACATCAAAGAGTAATAGATGTTTTCATACCACTTGATCTCCAGGGCTTGTAAACAAGCCTGTTAATCTTTAATGTATCAGCAGTATAGGCAGATGTGGTTTCTGTCAGAGAGACACAGCCAAACGCAGCAAGCCCTGACCAGTAAAATTCCCAACTATGCCTACACCTTTGGCACAGAATGAAAATTGTCACTGATGTGTTTTTTGCATTTTTAGCCAGTTTACCTGAGTAAACACAGAAAGATTTAACCCAAGGCGAGCAAGACAGACGCAGGGCAAATTTAGTCCCTGGTCCCTACGTCTGTGTGCATACCGTCAACACATAAAACTTCATTATTTCAGAAAACACATAAGGGTGTTACCTTTCTGGACATGGATGATGTCTGGAAAGTTGGCTAAATGCCCCTGATACAGCGCTAACAAATCCATCACAGGATCTAGGTCCTGTCGGGGCTGATCTGCAAAGAGGTCCCCGATGGTGTCATAGGCTTCTGCAGTGAAGGCTATGGCTTGGTTGAGGCCAGCTGAAAAGGCCTGCTGGTCCAGCTCAAACGCCTGACTGAGGCACTTGAAGGAGTGCCCCACCTTCTGGTATTCTTTCTTGAAACCAGTGACTTGTTTGCGGGCAAACTCGTTGGCCGTGTGATTAAGCTGCAGGGCGCTCTCGTCCATCTTCTTCGTGAAGGCTTTGAAGCCATCCACCTGGCTTTCCACCTCCTGCAAGTCCAGGCTGGCCCCAGGACCAGTGGGGACACTGATGGTCAGGAAAAAGTTGGCACCCACCATCTCATCCTTCTCAGCCTTGCGTTTGCCTTGTTTCCAGGCCTTCTCATCCGTGCTGGGGCAGGTGAGGAAGTGCTGGAAGGCATCACACTGAGCCAGCACAGGGTGGCTGCACATGTGGTCCATCCACCAGGCCAGGCCTTTGCGGCGCTTGGAGATGAAGTCCTCCTCGAAGCGGCCGGTGGCCTGCTTCTCTGGCAGGTGGGGCACCGAGATGACAGGGAACTTCTCTGCCAGGCGCCCGTAGAGCCAGTCAAAGTGCTTGTAGCGGCGGTGCACCTGCTGCCCGGTGTGGCTGGGCACCAGCTTGTAGGCGATGTAGCTCTTCATGCCTTTGAACTTGGTCTGCTTGGTGGGGTCCTCGATGGAGCACTGGAAGGGGTAGGGGTCCGGGGGCCCAGCACCACGCACAGCTTGTCCCCGTCCTTCACGAAGCCCGACGCCTCGCCCAGCACGAAGGCCTCCCCGCCGGACTTGACGAAGGTGGAGAAGCGGTTGAGGTTGCGGCTCACCGTGGCCGAGCTCTTG